CCGCTGGGAATAGGGCGGCATATAAATAAAATGAAACTCGAAACTCGAACTCGTTTCTTCTTTTTCTACCAATTCCTTTGTAGGATGTCACAATGTGACACAATGTGTCACAATAGAATTTGATTCTATTTTTTAAATGAGAAAATATAGGAGTCATTGCTGCGGAAGGACAGAATGTTAGCCAGGAGCATATTCAGAAGTATTTTTTCTGCTACGGTCAATGAGGTTAAATCTCATATACGAGTGTCTGTATGAATGCGACCTTTGGGCGAGTTGTATAAAAAAAGGGAAACTCGCTCATCCGGAGAAGCCGACGGAACTCTTGAGCAAACACGCATGAGGCTGCCCAAGCGGGAATCCTGTTTGCGAGAAGCTTTCCTCCCTCTAGCCGCAGCCTCGACTACCCACATCCACGGGAGTTTATCCTCGGATTGCTATCTCGGTTCCCATCATGCAACGCTCTCTCACGCGACAGCCTCCATCCCGAGGGATTGCCATCCTGCGCACTCGGGCTTGGATGCCCTTTGCTGAGAGGCCAATGGTCGCAAAGTCCGCCAATCACGCGCCTGCCCCACCTCTTGTATTTTTTTTCTCCCCCTTCCCTCACATAAACAGCCTCTAGCAGTCGCATAACCCTCCAACGCCGCCGTTGGTTCTCTGTTTCCCGACGGAACGGAGGTGGAGAGGACGGATCGGGCGGGAGTAACCCCCACTTACACCACCACCTCGTTTCTCCTTCCAGCGTTGGTAAGAGCCCACTTGCTGAAGGTTAAATGTTGCTTGGCGGGAAGAGCACGTGGAATGGGTGGGAGGTGGGCATTAGCTTGCAAAAAGACCCCACTCGGGCAGCTTGCAACGAAATTTTATTTTAATGCATGCTGATTAGTGTACATAATGAAATTATTCCATTCTATTCTTGCTGGCGGGGACGGGACGGAATTGGGATTACATTTCCCGGACTTCATCTGCCCCCCAACTTGAAGGGACGAATGGCTCGATTAAGGTCCCAAGAATTGCTGAGCTGGATCGCGAGCTCGAAAGGATCCGGCACTTCGCCCTGCCGAGGGTCGCCAGAACGACAACAGCCATTTCCTGTTGTTGGTTTCGGGATGGACAGTTTCGCAACCAATAGTTGTGGCTGGGAATGCCCGGCTCCTTCTGCGTCAGGTGTGGAGAATCGATGGATTGATTGCTTTCGGGCTTTGATGTAAAAGCTAGTTGATCAGATTAACAGAGTTGGAAGGGACCTTATAGGTCATCTAGTCCAACACCCACACACCCACCACACACACCCACCACACACACCCACCACACACCTTTGCAATGGTTTCCTTCCTCCTTTTGTCAGTATACTTAGATTTTTCAGTGTTGGTGTTGAAGCCGATGATCTGCCTTTCCAGAACTTTAAAGAAAATCTGCTTTTCCCAGAATTCAGATTTGTTTTCCTCTGGATATAAGGATTTCTTCAGGTTGCAGTTTCTCAGCCCATATTCTTGGTAGTTACTGGAAGAAATCTTATTAGAATTGGAAGTATTTAGCAGTATTTATTTATAACTGTTAGTATACTCAAAACTTTAAATGTTAGCTGGCTAAAATGTGGAG